GGCATCACTACTAAATACAAATTACTATTAAATTAAATTAAAAACAAATTACACTACACGGCAAGTACACACTACAGTCGGTCAGCAAAGATGCCTCGCTCAGGCGACCGACCCTTCGGCAATTTAATCTACCTACCCGAAATACCTGACGCGTAGGTAACTAACCCTAAACTACTCTCCTGCTTGCGCAGCCTAAGGGGCGTGGTTCCTGATTCTACCCACCTATCCGCTAACAAACAAAGGAAGCAAACAACAAAAAAATATTTTTATTACGTATTACGGCCGGACGTGATTGGAGAAACAATCAACCACGCTCTGCTACCAGTAATTGTTACGGCCCTCAGTTGCCCCGACAGAAGTCGACTGAACTAGGGCCCATGAGTAGCCCACTCGACCGGCAACCGGAGGGTTCGGACCCAAATGGCCTATGGATAATTATTATGTAATGGCTGATAAGCAAACACAAACTTACCGAGTTCCGGAGGTAGGGTCGACCACAAGGTACCGTCAGGCGGTAATTTGGTGGTTGTAAGTGGTGTGAGAAAGTGTGTAAATGTAACCTAACGTCACCGATGTAATCGGACAGCATACCCACATGCGCTGCTCTGCTCCACAATGTGAGATCACTCCAGTGGGCGTTCACCCATATGTGAACTCAAGTCTAACGTCACTTAGCACAAAATTATGATCGAAGACGAACGCGATCTCCTCTCGGGTCACAAATTTTTAGCGTTTCAAAAGTCAAGAAAAGCCTCGTTGTCACGTAAACGCACGAAAAAAACAACGCAATAAGAGGCTGTATTTACGCGACCTAACGATTCGAGCGTAACTTTTAGACTGGTAAGGACGCGGCCGCCCGGTTGATCGCCCACACGTCAGGCGATCGAGGGCGAGCGGAGAAACGCGCGCGGGAAAGGGGACCAGGCGGTGACCTAGATACCATCGGATGAACGCGCCGAGACGAGCGTTTTGAATGCAAGTTTTAAATGTTAAGATTTGGCCTAAACAGGTTCTATTCATATATCTAGCCTCAGCCGGATAGGGTCCTCGGCCCTAGAGGGCCTTGAGCATAATAGGATTTTAACATTTATTATTACAACATTAAGTAAAATAATTATTTATAATATTTAGTTTTATCTTTAAATCATTTTAGGTTAGTGAAAGTGCATACACAAGTTTACTAAAAACATGATATCACCCAGTCAGTTTCAGAACGACCACTTAAAAACGCAGCGCTGTAGCTGGAAGGAATAAAGTATTTTCACTGCAAGACTTCTGTTGCAGCGCGGGCTCTAGGGGAATCCCTGTTTTATGTATTGTAAATATAAGAAAAACTATTTACGTGGTAGAGCCATTTTGCACCTATATTTTGTATTGTAGTATAGTCAGCTCGACCGGGGAAGGACCACACTCTCACAGCATACCAGCGTAAAATAGCAGCTTAACACTGCTGTGTTTCGTATGGTGAGTGTAGAGAACCGGAGACCCTTTTTACTGGAAAAGAGGCATTCCATCATAGTCCTCATGGGTGACAACGCATCTGCATTTTGATTCTTTATTAAGGATAGATGTGGATGTTTATGGGTCACATCAACCACTTACCTACTATAAAAAAAAAACGTAACGCATACATCATTTGATTTACGCGTACATATACATCATTTGATTGTTGTAAGAATTGGTTACTTGTGGTGATTGAGGCACATTTATTTAATGTTAAAAATCGGTTAACAATATGTCTACTCGGTAAGAATTTTATAACAATCTTTAACATTTTAATTTATAAAACAGTAATTTCCAACGTCGTTAAGACAAAGTGGCAAATTGAAGACCGAAGAATACAATCAAAAATATTATACAATCTGCCACTTTGTCTGGCGTATGTGGACTATGAGGAAGCCTATGATTCCATCGAAATTTGGGTGGCGCTACAGTCCCTTCACCGGTGCCAAGTTGACTGTCGGTATATCGAAGTGCTTAAATGTTTTACAGTAGTATTCTCATCGCGCATTTTAAAATCACCAATCAATATTTTGACAATTATAACCACTAAAACGTGGTTTATTATAAAATAAATAATTTAAAATTAAAAATTTTGTACAGCCGACTTCAATATAAGTTATTTAAGAATAACTTAAAAACTTTTGGTCTGACCTTGATCAAATTCATATAGGACCACACGAGAAGTACCAGCTTTCAAATAAAAAAAGAATCATCGAAATCGGTTCACCCAGAAAAAAGTTCTGAGGTAACACACATAAAAAAAAACGAAAAAAAAAACATACAGTCGAATTGAGTACCGGCTCCTTTTTGGAAGTCGGCAGAAAAATATAACATTAACCACCAACCAACAGTTGAGCTTCTTTATAATGAGTGGAAGAAGGCTTCATCCGATGCGTCACCATAATTAATTGAGTAAAGGCAAAATTAATAGAGTTCTTTTATCTATCGGCATAATGTACGTCATAGAGCGAAGTAAAATTTTATGCACTCTCCCTCCACCTACCGGATGAGCGTCATCCCCCCCCCCCCCAGCGCTTAAGAAAGTGTCCCAAAGCGTATAATTATAATTTTTTTATAAATTTTTGACGTAGTTACGAGTATTACGCAGCTTGACGCATGCTTGGGGCTGCAGTTAATAATTAACTGCAGCCCCAAGCATGCATAGTTGGAGCGAATTAAATCCACGCTCTTTTATCAAACTTGTATAAGGGCAAGCCCAAAATGGATTGTGCAATTTTATTATAGAAGAGCACGAATAACCTTCATACCTTTTTGAGGCGGAGCTTATTACGGTTTCTAAAATTATTATAGTTTATCCATCATGCAGATCTCTGATGTTTTTGAACTCATGAATATGTTGTCTTAAGAAAACGATATTGCTAGAAATATAATAGGTGAAGCTTCTATGAGAATACCTATTTCATTTACTTTTCATATTGCAAAAAGTACCCAATTCTAATTATTTGAAGTCATATCAACGTTATAAGGTGAGAAATCTTTACCTATTTTTTATTTATTAAGTCAGTATTTTTTATTTTAAATATACTACAAATTCGTAGGCTGGGGTAAAGGGGGTGCATCCAACATTTAACAAATTTGGTCTCACTAACGTTTTGCACGTAATATTGCATTTTATAACGATGGTGCAATTATATTCAAGCAAGGTGCAGTTTTTTCATATTGCAAAACGTACCCTATTCTAATTATTTGAAGTAATATCGACGTTATAAAGTGAGCGATCTTTAACTATTTTTTATTTCTAAACTACATGGATGCAGTTTAAATAATAAATACATAGATTAATGATAAGTCATCGCGCGCTCTGACTAGATATCGCCGGCGCTCATATAAAATGTAGCAACAAATACTACGCCGAAATCGGCGTACCCGAGCCAGTCGCGTTGCAGGTAGCTTGCTACATATATATTTATCTATGGTTGCAGGCACAAACTATATAGTAACACTAGTTACAGGCAACGTGTGAGGTGAACGTACCGAATGTCTTATTAAATTTTGATCATAATCCGAAATAAAATACTAGTTTACGTATTGAAACTGTGTAAAAATAATACTACAAGAAATAAGAAAGACACTGGAATCACATACTATCATTAAGTATCATACAATTTCAAAATTTTAACATAAAATAACATGAGTCATAAATAAGTCACAAAATATCAATGACGCTATTCAGTGTTGCCGCGAGTGCAAAAATAAAGTACCTCGTGGCTGAGATTTTTATATGTGAATTTATTGTTACTATATTTTATAATATAATATATTTAACTTATTATAATATAACCTTATTCTATATTATTTAATGTTTATTTTTGTAGTATTGCTCAAATGAAATAATTGCCGTTTATTAGGGTTCCGTACCCAAAGAGTATCAACGGGACCCAAGTCTCCACTATCGTTCCGTCTGTCTGTCAGTAGGCTGTATCTTATGAACCGAAATATGTACAATTTTCACAGAATGTATATTTATATTGCTGCTATAACAACATAAAATAAAAAAAAAACAAGTAGAATATTAAAGGACCCAAAAAATCACGTTTCTTGTACGAGGACCATACAAGAGACGTATTTTTTTTCTGTATTGATATGTGTTTTGTTTACAGACTAAAGCGAAACCTGGATTAAAACGCAATAAAATGGTGCTGTGTGTATGGTGGGATTGAAAGTTTATCATGAGCTTTTACCGCTGGGTAAAACCATATACCAATAAATAATGAGACAAGCAAGAAATAGAAAAAAAACGGCTGGCGTTGATAATCATAAAAGGAGTGGTCTTTCATCATAATAACGCCAGATCACAAGATTAGTTATCTGTTTGAGACTTTCAATACACACTAACATTTCTAAAAATCCAGTATTTGCTACTCAAGCAAAAATATCGTTACTAGCGTTGAAATCAACACAGTTTCTGCTATTTATTTTCATTGATTGCTGTGTGAAAAACATTTCCTTTTAGTGTTTTGAATAAAAATTTATTTATTTTTCGTTTTTATATCATTGAGTTGACCGAAAATGCGCTCGCACTCGGCATTTGAGCACATTACGTGTTACATATAAATCAATGCATTACGTTATACAATGGTATTACGGTGACATATGACACGGTAATGCGATATTACTTTGACGGTAGGTTAAGACCAAATTACGGTGCATCTACGGTAATTACCGTGTACATGGAGACACTGGTTGAAGGAGCGACGACAATTAGCGTTAAAGGTTACAGGTACTAGAGCTTCTCTTGCACAGTGGAGCGTTCACAGGCTACTGCCATAACTACCATATATAGTCATAAAGTAGCTGTTAACCTCCTTGCAATATTTTACATTTTAAATAATACCGTTATGGCTTTGATAAGTGACATAACCTAAATAACAATATTGTTTACAGAGAGTCTATTTGTACGATCATTTTCATTGATATTTGTTAAAACCGGAAAAGTGTGTCAAGGTATTCCGAGATATCAGAAATAATTTTCTTTAATGGATAAACATACTAATGAGAAAACATTTGAACTAGAATCTAACACAGAATACATTTGCACCTGCACATGTTCCGAGTCATTTTTAGAAAACGCCACATTATCAGCTCACAAGAAAAGAATTTTGAGTACAGTGGCTATAACTGAAAATTACTTGCGTGATCGTCGTATTCCGGAATTGATTAGATTTCTTTTGTCTAAAGTCCTTGCTCAAGAACCTGATAAACCGGTATTATATTTAGAAAAATTACTCGATGATTGTATGTTATTTCGAGCAGGCGTTGGACCAGCTCCCGTTTTGTTTGAAGATAGGTAAGCAAGTTAGTAATATATTAAGCCCATAGGTAAGACGCATATTAAAATAATCGTGAATAAGTGTACAAAATATACAATAACAATATTCTTAAAATACCGAAACTGCGCAGTGGCAGATTATTTGAAACACTTGCGGGTAAAAGCTTAATCAGCATCAAGTATAAATATTAAAAACGATGTGCAATTTTTTTACAATCAGTAAATGGAAATTTTAGAATCTGTGTGCTCGTGAGGCATTTTTGTTAATATATTTACTTATCTTTTAGGCATCTTGAAGCAGTAGTGAGAAGTTTTGACCCCGGACACCGTGGATGGTTAACTGCTGGCCAAATACGTAGACTGTATGCAACCTTGGGTCTGTTGATAAAAGAAGAATTGCCAGATAGCACGCCTTGTGAAACAGTAATTAACAATGTTAAAGAAGCTCAAGAAAATGAACTGTTTGATTTGTTATTAGTAGGACTAAATAGAAACAGCAGCGACGATGTAAGTCGGTATTAAATGTACTTAATAACATTTAATACCTACATACAGTTCTGCACCCAACACCCAAACGCTGTTCAAATCCACCAAAAGAAATTGAATATTATTAGATCAAACTTTTAATGGTTAAATTACAGCGATTGCTATAAGATGATGAATATGTAAGGTTGTAATATTATAAATTTTATTTTATCAAATGTTTTACGTTTATTGAAAGAAAGCAAAAAAATATTAACTTATTTATTTACGCTTAAAATTAAATTCATTCAAGAATACGTTGTTTATCAAAACCAGTCGTTTCGATATTGAACGTTGTCGTTTTGTATTAATATCAAACAAAGCATTAAGAGCTTTCTAATGATCTATTGTTTTCACGCTGTGCCTCAAAAATAGAGCTAGGTAATGGAGAGAGTTTCCTGCTCTAAGACTGAACGATTTCAATTTTTTATTATATTTATTTAAGGATGATTGTGGCTATGTCGGTTTGTTTTTCTTTTATTTTTTATGTTCGTTAAATTTGTTTTCTGGATGTCTATTAATGGAGGTATAACTAATACTTTTAGTGAGCTTAGAAGGTTCCTGAACATGACAGTGGTAGATATTAATTATCTAGTAAAAATAAATATTTGATGTAATATCAAAATTCAGGGAAAAGCAGAAGAATTCCGCCTGGATATTCTCTTAAAGGCGGATCTGAATGGATAACGCCGGCTACTGACCAACAGAACAGCAAGCAAAGGCTAACAAACGGACGCAAACAAGTACAAGACGGTCATAAACAATTCAGCGAAAGTGTACACGAAGGTGGCTATGAAAGCATTTGTACGCTTTAGCTTGTGCACCACGAAGTGTTGGTATATTAAGGCTGCGCTTGTCTATCATTTTTCAATAATAAAGTAGGAAGGTGATTACACCCCTGTTTTTGATAATGTACGTCCAAATATTTGAATAATATCGCCTTGTCTGGTTTTTATCTGGGCTTGTACATAAAGTGAAACAAAAAAAAATTGATTTGAAAGTTAGAGGCCTGGAAAAATTCGCAATTCAACACTAATTTTATTGCAAGTTTGGGCGTAAATAACAACAGAATTATTATTAATAACAACAGAAAATTCCAAAATATTTTACATACAAGCATAGTATATTTATTCAAAAACTCTTATAAGTTAAAGTAAAGAAGATACATTTAGAGGATTTTTCATACAAACCCTTCTCCAAAAGGTCTGTACGTAAATTTTTCCGTGCTCGTTTTTTATATAAATGTTCGTGCGAATAGCACTGTGGCAGCGCTGTCGTCGCACTACAAGCGAAACACATCGAAGCCTAAATCGCGCTAACAAAGTTCCGAAGTTAAAGCAGTATATATAGAATAGCTCCGAACTACCACTCGGAGCGTCGGGCGCTCCCCGGGCAGAACAACTGGCGCGGCGAGAGATCTCTCCTTTCCCTTCCCCGCCACAGTGTTGACCCCGACGTGATATGAACACGCAACCAATAATCTTCGGAAACTACAACTTCAAAACCTTCGTCATCGTCCTCAAGTAGCCCGTTCATTCGCTCCCGGGCAGATATTGTCTGCAGTCTTCACATTCTGCAAGCCATCTAGCTTTACATAGGTTCATCGCAGCACTGGAATAATAATGCTTCCTGTTCCTTCAAGCTACTTTCTGCGCTACAGTGTTTGGCACGGCTCTGAGCCTTACTCCTCGCCTCTGCTTCACGGCACTCTTGCAGATTAATTGACTTCTTCTCGACTCACCGCAGACTACAAGGTATTCCCTGGCACCTGCTCCAGTTCATCGTTCTCACCAGCATCATTTGCAAGTGCGTAGTACGGCAAGCATTGCACACCGGCATATCGTTCGCACCGGCGTCACTTGCCCTTACGCACACAGCACGCATTCCTCACCGGCATTAAGGACGCACCGGCAATCAGACTGCACTATTGACCTCCGGTCTGAGCAGGGCAGTGATGTGGTGGCGCAGTCGTCGTGCCACAAGCGAAACACATTAAAGCCTAAGCCCGGATGGAGATCTCCCCTTTTCCTTCTACCCGCCACAGCACGAATAGCAGAGGGGTGGCAAACGTGCCGGTTCCGCGCGCTTCAACTTTGTTTAATGTTTTGAACAAAAAATGTGCGTTACTCTATGTTTTCGCGCATGCGCGGTTAGTTATTGCCATCACTATTGAACATAGGCCTCTCCCAAGGAATGCATAGAAGCATGGTCTTGAGCAACCTGCATAATATCCTGCAAGTCTTACCAGGTCTAGTGGGGGGCCACCCATTGCCACTTTCGCTTACTAATCGTTGTGTTGGCTAGTCTGTTTCTACTATGGATATCCTCATTTCAAAGTATATCACGCAGGGAAACCCCGAGCGTAGCTCACTCCATAGCTCGCCAAGCAACCTTGACCTGCCTTATACTGCCAGCAGTGAAGGACCACGTCTCAGGTTCATATGTAATCACTGGCGACACGCACTGGTTGTATTATTTTGTTTCCAAGTTTTGAGGTAAAGTTGACGAGAAGATGTATCGTAATCTCCTGAACGCTGCCCAGCCGAGTTGAATCCATCGATTGATCTGTCGATCAAAGATAGACTTACCTAGTCGGAATATTTGTCTTAGGTAAACATATATTGTCTTAGGACAACTTCGAGTGTAGGGCTCGCAACCTTTGTTTTTTCCATGTTCATCTTAAGACCTATCCGTTGAAAGACACTATTGAGGTCTGTTACGTAACGCCGTTCGAAAAATGAATAAAAACGCGCTGGTCTTGCTTAAACTGGAGGCAAGCGGCGGTAAGGAAGAGCTTTTACTTTTTCTTGCTGTTGTCTTCTTTCGGTGGCTGGAGAGCGACTGCTGACCGTTCTTTTTTTTTTTTTTTTTTTTTTTTTTTTTTTTTCGCCCGAAGCAATTGGAAAAGGGCTACCACTGAGGGAGGCGGAAAATGCATTATGCATACCACGACAGCCGGTCTGTCCTGGTTATGTGGGACTCACTGCCTACCGGGGGACCTAAGTGATACCCACTAAAAACCGCCTTTGGGGACTGGCAACTAGCTCTATTAAAGCTGCATATGCCGTATCTAAAGCGACCCTCTTTTGGGAAAAGAGGGCGCAGTAAAGTGATGCTCTTCGCGTTCCGAACCATATCTCCCTTCTATAGGATTCCATGGAACTCGAACGCTCAGGCAGAAAAGAAAACTCTTCCCGGACCCCTCGGCGGCGTCTTCAGGCCACTTTGGGTTACCCCGTACTGACCGTTCCGGCCGGCCCGTCTTATATACGATTTGGCCGTTGCTGCCAAGCGGACCCTTGCCTCACCCCCGCGCCTTTCTTTATTGGTTAGATTTCTTACAAACTAACGAGCAGACTTAAATATATAACATTCTTACAACTACTTATTAAACTAATACGTACATAACAATTTTTCTATATACTAAAGTTTAAACCTTGTTTTTCAACAACTTTGAGCTGAGGACCCTGCCCCCCGCCTCAGTACTATAAATATAAAACGTAGTGGCGCGGCGCGCGTAGCCTCATTTGCTCCGCGGCCGCGTCACGGTAACATGCCCTGTTTATTATTTTTCGTGCCTAAGGGCTTAATATACAAGAAATTAAATTGTACTATATAAAGGAATACAATTTACATACAATAATTACTTTACAATTTTACATTAATTAATTTCTACATTCTGAATCTATGTTAACTCTCGCTATTCGTTCGGTGCCTTTATTGGGAGAGTTATTACATAGTTGCAATACAATTTATTAAAATACAAAGCTATATTTTTCAATATTCTGATTTAGGCTTTTCCGCGTTGCTGTGTGCAACCATCGCTAGTTGTTGAACCGTGAGCGCGGCCCGACGATCGTAACACCCTCATGGCTCCGCCCACCGCCCCTAGGTTGTTCAACTAGCGTTGGTTACGACAAGCATTTAGTAAGTATTTCGTTTGACGTATCACTTTGTTTGCGTCGTGCACAAGGTCATTGAGCATAGTGCCTAGATCCTCCAGCGATTCCGCCATAAGCAATATATCTTCGGCAAATCGAAGTTAAGTGATGTACTTACCATTGATTTTGATACCATATCCTTTCTAGTCTGGTAGCTTGAAAACGTCATCCAATATAGCGGTGAACAGTTTCGAGGATATAACGTCGCCCTGTCTTACGAGGGTGACACTGAAAGTTTTTTTTTGTTTTTTGTTTATAGGAAAGGGGGCAAACGAGCCTGCGGCTCACCTGATGGTAAGTGACTACCGCCGCCCATGAACAACTGCAACAACAGGGGAATCGCAGATGCGTTGCCGGCCTTTTAGAAAGGAGTAGGCTCTTTTCTTGAAGGTCCCTAAGTCGTATCGGTCCGGAAAAATCGCTGGTGGTAATCGATTCCACAAGGAAGTTGCGAGGGAGAAAACTTCTTCGAAATCGCACAGTGGTGGACCGCCAATCATCCAGATGATATGGATGGTATCGCGATTTTTGTCGCGATGTGCGATGATGAAATTGAGCGGCTGTAATTAGTTCGAACAATTCCTCAGAGCACTCCCCGTGGTAGATACGATAAAATACGCAAAGAGATGCAACATCTCTACGCAGTGCCAGTGAGTCAAGCTGATCGGAAAGAACTCGGTCGTCGTCGATTCGAGTCAAGTGGAAGGAGCTGGCACTGGGGAGCCCCTGCCCAGAGATGGGAACAACCCTCCACCTCCCATGGCCCCACCAACCTTACGGTTATACGGGCCGAATCTCGAGAGATGCACGCGGTACTTGCTCAGGGCTCTTTCCCGCATGCACTTTCTTGACTCTCTACAAGTTATTTAATCTACTCCTTGTCCCGTAGTGTCACTCTCCCTTTCTGGGCTGGACGAATACGTTACGCCTTCGGTTCCGGGCAGAATCCTTACTTCGTTCCTCTCCATCGCAATTCTCCGCGCATGCCAACCATGCGCAAACTCCCGCAGCCGGCCAAAGCTCTCCTTACCGTCCACGAGGTCCGGGTAGTAAACCGGA